TGCTCCACTGCTGGAGGACAGTTCACTGATCACCTCTGCTTCCACGTCTGACCTAAGAGTTACGGAACAAACAGGGCAGCCAAGCCAAACTGGAAGTGTCCCTAAGAGCTGGACACTGCACACGCAAGTGAGAAGATTTCTCAACTTCTCCCAGAGCAGAGGAGCCTACAGCAGGGACCGGGGGACCTTTTTAGGTCTGGTTCTTCTGTTCTCGGCAAGTCTTCAAGAAATGAACCTCCCGTTTCCCAGGGAGCAGGAAGGGAGAAGAGGGTCATTAATGCTTTGCTGCTGTGCTCCACGTCCAATACACTGCATTTCCCTCAACCAGGAAGCTCCAGCGTCTTCCTGGTGGCCACAAAGCCCCGACCACCTGCACGTGGTACACGACATCCACCCGATCAGCGGTATGGAACAAAGAGGGCCACAGGAGCAGAGCGGCCGTGTGCCGGGAGAGGAGACAAATTCAGAGGAGCATGTTGAAGGTCTCTGTTCTGAAGACAAGCTCTAGCAGCCTCGGACACTCCACCCATTGACTGGCCAACACAGGGACAACAACAGAGACCCGGGATTTGTCCCACATGCGAAAGAGACTTATTGACAAAAACAACTGCATGGATTAGCCGAGTTCAACCCTCTCAACAGGGCCATGGTAGGAAAAATGAGGGCATCGAGCAAGCGGGCTCCAGGGACCACAAACCAGAAGGAATAAAGAGGAAAGGGTTAAGAACAGTTATCGTAATTGCCTGTCTCGATGGGATTTGGATGCAAGGGCTTTCCTACGAATGCCTTCTAGACAGACGGAGCAAGACGTCATCCTCTTAATGACACCCACTAATCTTCATTATATTAGAAAATCTCTCATAGCAACTGTTGGCCGGGAGCACCCAGCCAGTGCTGTCAAGGAAGCGGAAGAAATCCCTGCCTGCTCCTGAGGATGCTGCTGCAGCTCCCGGGGCGACCCAGGCAGCTGAACCCCAAAGCTGCACTTGGGGATGACGATGCCATGGATGAGGGTGGTCTCCCAGCTGAACCCCACAGGACCTCTCCCCCATCAGCCAACCTCCTGCCTTTCCATCTGACTGTACCCAGCCTTCACGCGAGGACAGCTGTCCCCTCACAAGCCACCCTGCTCCCACACTTTGTCCAAACATCTACAAGTCCTCCAGCTTCTCCCTTCCCAGCCAGAGGGGAGGAGGTGATGGAAGCGAGTGGACGCATGCCCAGAAGGGAGCAAGACACAGCGTAGGTCTCACCAAGCTTCCTCAGCGACCAGAGACCCACATACACGTCGCGTAACTCAATCCTCTGTCCCTCTGCCAGGTCTGCTGTCTGCCCACCTCTTATCTTGGCCTTCAAAGGAGGCAACATGCACTTACCATGGCTTTGAGAAAAACCTGTGGGACTAGCGCAAGACTTGGTGAGGAGGAGAGGGTTGGAAGGACCTGAGAAGGCTGTTGGGCTGGAGACCTGATCTCCCGCCTGACTGTGAAGCCTCCAGGATCATTTCACAAACGGCGTTTGGAAGTGGATGGATCCCAGGGCTGGATCTGGAGGAGCTGGGACCGTGTTGCTCTGGTGGAAGCGCTCGAGGGCTCAGCCCACACCACGATGGAGTCTTTAAAGCTCTGGTTGGGTGCCAGCCTGTTTCTCATCGCCACCTCAGCACTGGCATGAGCCTGTGGGAAGCACAGCGGGAGACGGGAGATTTCCCCATCCCTTTGCAACCTGGCCAAGGGTGCTGGAGCACCAGCCTTTCCCAAAAACCTGTCCCTGAGCATCAGAAAGAGGTGTCTGGACTGCGATCCCCCCACCCAGGTCTTGGCCACTTCAGGCAGAGGTACCCCAAGGTTTTCCCATTCCCACGAGGGACCACGCGTGCATCCCTCTGAGCCATCCAGAGGCAGATGCTGACGTTGGGCTTCCAGGTGGCCTCCTCCGTGCCATGGGTGCTGCCCACCATCGTCCCCCCAGAAATGCCCTTTGCACCCTCTGGGATCTGCCCAGCCTTGGTCCATCCAAAGAAGAGCTGCCAGCTAAGCTTTGGAGAAGCTGAAACCAGGATGCCTTTGTGCGGGGTGATTTTCAGAACGTGCCATGCACGTTTTCTCCTTAAAATTAACCCCATTAATATGAAAACATCTCTGCCATGATGAGGTAGGTCTGGCGAGCTTTGATTTCGGCTTTTACGAGTGCCAGAGCAGCATGCACGTGGCACTCACACGGTTAAAAAACAAACCCACCCCAGGCCGTGCCGGCTCCTCTCTCCATCTCGCTTGGCAGCCCCCAGACAGAGGGCACTTGAGACCCGTTCTTCCAGAAGGAAGTCCACTCTCAGCTAATTAAGCAAAGCTGCTAATTAGCTTCCTGGCTGGAATTGACTGGGGGGAGGTCGGCAAGGGCTGTCCGTGGGTTTTTACAGGTGGTGAAGCTGGGGTCAGGAAGATGGAGGCATCTCCCACAGCAAAGCACATGCTGATGCAAACAGGTCATGTGTGCTAACCGCAGTGAAATTTAATCTTTTAATTGCTTGGGCGGCCACAGGCATCAGCCAGCTGGCGAGTGGAGACTGTTGTCCCCAAAACCCGCATCGTCCCTCGTCTCTGATTGCAGCTCGTATCCGGCACCGCCACCCAGCTGGCGGCGGGTCAGAACCGATCAGTGCCGAATCACCAACACCGTTTGCAGAAAAAACTGCTCAGGATAGAGAGTGGTGTGTCCCTGTCACCCCTCCGTGTCCCCGTCACCGCTCCATCTCGCTCCTGGGTGCAGGCTCGGCTCCTGCTGCCAACTCCGACCGAAGCACGCCCAATGCCTAACAGCAGAACAGAGGAGGCACCTGCAAACCCCATTTCCAAACCAAACAGCGCATCCAGGCCTGCCAAATCACTCCCTTCCACCCTTCCTCACTTCTCCTGCCTGCAGACAGGGAATTGCATCCACCCAGCATGCAGACGGGATGCTTCGGAGTAAAACTGTCCATGGGCAGGTTTCTCTGAGCTCACCCAGTGCTCCCGGAGAGTATTCTGCTGGTGAGGATGAACATCAGATACCATTACCCTATTTGTTTCCCCTCCTAGAAAGCTTGTTTTTCGCCCCTCTTGCTTAAGTGGCAATTAATTCTGACACTCCTGGGAGGTCACTGCAGAAGCAGTGAATTACAGGGCCGGCAGGATGGCACACGGCCAACGCCGTTGGGCGATTTTCCGCTCGCGTGTGTCTTGAACCAGGATGGAGATTGCTGCAAACCATGCCGACGTGGACCGGCTGGCCAGCCCGTGCTGTCACGGAGCGGCGGGGAAGGGAACGCAGAGCATCGCGCCAGGGAAGGGAATGCAGAGCATCGTGCCCTCCCGGTCCCCGCTGCCAGCACAGAAAGCAAAGCAAGAGCTAGATGTGCTTCAACTCACCTGCATCTCCAAAAAAGCACAGAAGCTGGGGGGTATTTGTCAAAGCCCAGAGCAACCAGGCAGGCATCAACTCCAAAACCCCCAAAATTTGACTGCAGTCTATAGACCTGCTGTCCTAAAGGTAGGAATTGGGATGAATGCGGCGTTGCAGAGAAAGGCTTCAGGCCACCACTTGTCTGCAAGTCTCTATTAGTAAAAGCATCCACTGCAGACGTTTATCCTCCCTGTTCCCGCCTGATTTGATCTGGATGATGCCAGTAGGTACCAAAAACCCTACCTGCGCAGGCTGGGATGGGGTCAGGGTGAGACGGGTCTGTCTGGGTCCGTGGGGAGGTCCCAGAGTTTGCAGAACCTCACCACCACCTCCATCCTGGCAGGTGGTGACCAAGAGGGACATCTCCCAAACGCTCCGGGGCAGGACGAGGTGGGTCAGCTAAGATGCCTCCTTTGGCCACCAAGAAAGGATAGCCAAGGAGCCATCTGGGCTGAATCAAGAGCAATTTCTCATCCCTCCCCTAAGTCCATCCCTGCTTGGGTTTTGAAGGCAAAAAGCTTGTTTTGAAAGCGGCGATGCAGGCGCTGGGCCAGGCCCCAGGAGCCCAGCGCCCGATTGTTCCCCACCTCTGATCATCTACTCAAACATCATCAATTCTGGTGATTTTTGCCCATGTCCAAGGCATTAGTCCACATCAGCCCTAGTGAGAATTCACGGCGTTTGTACACCTGAACCACTTGTGCAAACTCTAAGAGGGGCATTTTGAGCTGTAACGAAGACAAGCACGACAACGTATTATTTTCTAGCAACATAAATCCATGAAAGCTGGAGGTGGTCGTTTGCTTTAGCACCCGAAATCCTGTTCCGAGCAAGAGAAAGCTCGTATCTGTCTTACCAACAGACTCTGAAAAGCAGTTGGACCCCCAGGCTGGAAGAGGTGGCTTCGTTTCTCAGGAGGCTTTCCCACCTCCAGGACTCTACGGAGACAGCACGCCGAATCAGCTGGGCTTGCTGTGGTGACGGATTAAATCCATACCCACACAAACTTGCTTATATTCGATGCAAAAATCCTAAGAAAGAGCCTAGAAACCAGTTCTGATGTGGAGAGATGTTCAAGCCACCACCCCACTGTGATGGCAGGCGTTGGGGTGGACCAGCAGCACCGGGTGAGTCCTGCCCCTTCCCGAACTGATGATGGAGCCTAATGAAACCCCACAGACCAGGAGCTCACCCTGAGGTGTGACCCCATCACCGGACAGCCCTGGTGCTCCTCCTGTCCCGCTCCAGTTTCTGGTCATGGGTAGGAGCCACTCAGACGAGGACCACCGCATAAAGGGGATGGATGGTCCCTACTCCAAAGAACCATCAAAATATATCTTAATGTTTATTTAAGGGTGGTAGTAAAGCTAAAAAACGTAACATGTGAAGGGAAGGGGATGGGGAGGAGGATCAGAAGAGCACAAAGAAAACACCGATGTTACTCGCTGCCCCATCCCCACGGGTCAGCCGGTAGCACACGGGCTGTCCCACACCCCCACCTCACCGCCGAGGCCACGTTGCAGACCCCAACCCCGGTACCGGAGGGAAATTTCAGCTACCTGTAGTGGAGGAGTTGACCTTCCGCACTGTAATCCCGATAAATGTCATATTCTTTCTCAAACACTCCGGAAGGCGACGAACTGCAATACAGTAACAGTGAACAAGGAGTTACCAACGGTGACTGCGACACGTGCGTGCCCTTATTAAAGTCTCCTTCACTTTAGGATTAATGAAGATGCATCCACAGAGATGAGCTCCCGGCCCCCACCAGTCTGGGCTCTGCACTTGGGACTTACTCCCACCTCCTCGCATCAAGCTTTGGGTCATTAATCGGTTGTTTAGCAGATGATGACCAAGCCCTCCATGGCTGTGGTCTCCAGCTTCATTTCAAACCCTGCAAACACCACATTCTCCCTTAAACTATGCTTATTTGTGAAGAATGGCTGCAGACATGACTGGACAGATCCTAAACATCTCATAGCTTTGTCCCACCCATGGTCCTTTCCAAAGGCAGCCCTTCCTCGTGCCTCGAGCATCGCTCTCGCTCCTCGCTCGTCTCAGATGGTCAGAGCCAACACGGGCAGAGGCGGTGAGCTCCCTTTTGGCACATTTTCGTCTACCACGTTGCAGTCGGTTACATCTGAGCCCGCAGAGCCCTCGCTCCCAGAAGACGGAGAGGGTCATAGCACCAACAGCTACCAACCTATTCCAAGAGACACCTTACCTGAGTACGCTTGTCGGAGAAACATGGAAAAAAGCACCTGAAGGTGCGGGATGGCATTTACACGCCGCTTTTTCGATTAGCACCAGCTTAAAGCCTCTCCTAGAAGAGCAAACCCACTCTTGCTCCACGTTCCCTTTGGCTTCATGCTTGCCCAGCAGCCTAGCATCCACGCCAAGACCCTCCAACACCTCCCAACGAGGCACACGACCAGGTTTTAGTCTTTGTCAAAGACTTTCCGATATTGTTCGTACTCGTCGCCAATATTTGCTCAAGGAGCACAGGAAAGGTCTTTTTTTGCCTTAACAGTCCTTCACTGTGGGGATGTGCAAATAGTCAGGCTCGTTCAGAAAACACATGGAACTGAGCAGATTACTAGACATTTGCTCCGCATCGAAACGTAACAGCAAACATCTGGAGAAATAACTTCATTTTGAGCAGTTTTCGAAGAAACAGCGTTAAAGCCCCCCCTATGAACTTATTAACATGCTTGCATTAATAAAATTCAGATCAGATGTTGGTTTCAGAAAAAGAAAAAGGAAAAGAAACAAATCTCCTTAAGAGGATAGACCTCAAAAATTTTATTCAAGCAAGAGGCAATAAAACTAAGCTTCTGACAAAGCGAGTTTTAATGAGACTTCCGAGCCCTGAAATTATGACTGTGTTGAATTGCTTAATCCCTTTTTCCTCTTGAATGCACCTCCTCCTCCACAGCACCCAGTGTCTTCTCAAGAGAAAGGCATCAGCTCTCGCGCCTGATGCTGTACCCAGATCCATGGTTACAGAATCTCCTCCCCAAGGGGCAAAGCCCTGGATGGAAGGGAATTAATGCTCAGGAAGCTTCCTAACGAAGAGCCCCGCCGCCGAAAGAGGACGTACCTAACGTTTACTGAAGAGAAAGGCAATGGACGTTGGGAGAAGACCTCAAGGAAGGTCTACTTCAGGCAAGTTCTTGTGATCAAAGCCCATCAAGGGAAAGACCCTCATGGCAAACAGGTTTCTCTTCTGGTGGTAGCATCCCTGCCCAACCATGGCCTGGAGAACCTTCAAGTACTATGTCATCCGTGCAAATCCCTGGTGCTGTGGGAGCTGAAAGGAGACTCTCCTTTCCTCCAGGTTTCCCCAGGAACCAGAGACTTCAGGACCACCTTGTCTTCCCTTCGCAAAATCTGTCCATTTGCCCTACTTCGTGGACCTTTTGGAAAGACCTGCAAGGTAAGAAATGTCCTCCTGGGTCAGAGCAACGGTGTCTCCAGCCCAGTACTCTGCTTCAAACCGCGGCAGCAAGAGATGCTGTTTATGGAGAGCTCATGACCCCGGTTGCTGCCTGCGGTCCATGCCCTCGTGCCCCCCAGCACCCAGTCCCTGCGTTAGGGGTGACAGCAGGGAGGTGTCCTCCAAGGCACCCGCTTCAGAGATGTTTATGGACCGGTCGGCTTGAATTTGTTTAATCTCTTCTTGAACATGCAGCAATATCAGCCTCCACAGCTTCCCACCGCAACAAATTCCAGAAGTTTTCTACCTGCTGTGCACCTCCCTTCTTCCTCTCCCCTCCAAAAAAAAAAAAAAAAATTCACCTGATCATCAGCTGTTCCTTCTGGCCTCCTATTTTTCAAAACACTTGCAAGTAAGGGCACCCAGCACGTCTCCTTGCGTCTCAGGGTAAACCTTCCTTGTTAAAGGCAACGGGAATCTGGGAGGAAGAGGGGGATGAAGTCTCCTCCGGGCGCTGGCTCCCGAAATCTCCGTCTCTTCTCATGCTCACCTGACAGGAAGATCTGAGGAGCACGCAGCAGCGCCGCAAGCATCTGGCCAGCCAGTTACCAGAAAACGTGCCGACCGTAAATTCCCAGCAACGACGTCGGCTGCTCCTCGGCCAGCGCGCAGCTGCTGGAATTTCAGACGCTTTCCAATCAGTTGCTGCAAAGGTTCTTCCAAAAACAGCAAAGGCTGTTGAAGCGGCCGCAGAGTTATGCGGCTTTTAATATTCTGGCCGCGCCAGCTGGATGCAGGAGGTGAGGGATGTGTGAGCTCATAGGTGAATGGAGGTTATTCACATCTGGCTTCAGAACCTGGATGAAATATCTAAGGAGGGAGATTCTGCTCCCAATTTGGTATTTCACGCAGCACACGGTACAGTACAACCCTTGTCTTAACGCGACTCCTTCTGCACTTTCTATCCCAGTATGAATTTGAAACCGGAGCTCCAAAACATGCCCAGGAGCAGGGACAGCCCACGAGGCTGGTGAGATGAAACAGTTTAGCGCAGTTTGCTCTCAAACACACATGCTGACTTGACATACATTAACACCTCGTCATCTTTACAGAACGTTCTCTTAGGCTGCCACCTCCTCCTTTTGAGATAAATTGATTAAAACCTCAGACTATGAGCAAGGTCTCGCTGACATACAATCCATGCTTAGAGCTACTGCGTGGTCCAAAAATGCCAGGCAAAGCGGTAAGGTCGAGATCGACTGGAGAGCTTCAAATCCATCCCACCAGCAGAGCCAGATCAGGAGTAAAATCGCTGCCGGCACGCTGTGGGTGGCATTGCTCCCCATTCAGGTACTGATGAGTCAGACTTGGCTTTGTTATCCTCGCAATCGGCTCTTACCAGTGAAGCTGCAAATGAGATTGACGGCAAGGATCGCATCCATCTGCGGCACCACGAGCTGCAAACTTCAAGGTCAGGATGAATGCAGCAACGTAACACCCGGGACATCCCCTCTGCTCTTCTGCATCTTACAGGAGATGAAAACTCGCCCCTCCGCTGCCACCGCTAAGGTCCTACTCGTTATCTTTGGGGTGATTTTAGCAAGTTCTGAAGAAAAAGATGCCACGAGGTCAGAGCACGTAGACTGCCAAGACCTGGCTAGCTGACCCATGCCCCTAAAACTGAGGGTCTGGCTTGCGTTGGAAAGAAATATCACGCCACAAGCAGGAGACAATCAGGGAACTGGTGACAGGCTTCCACCAGATAACCTGTTCTGGAGGACAAAGGTGCTGAGGGATGCTGAAGTTCACAGACATCAAATTGTGATGTTTTGTTTCATCTTTGATAATTGGAAGACATTTTGCAGACCCACGTTTGGTTCTGGGTCTCAAGGTTACTGATGTTTGAGATGCAGAGACCGGCTCCATCTCTACTGGGAGCCATGGTCAGGATGGACCAGGCGCCTCCAAACCTCCTGTGTTGAACAGAGAAGGCAGGTAGGGTCCCTTCACCTTCTAGGGGAGATTTTGGGGGTGAGAGGGCATTTAAAAGAAGCTTTCCAGAACGAAGAGCTATCTCCAAGGTATCACAGCATGGACCGTCCTAGTTTGTCTTGAGGCCAGGAGGTGAAGCAGCTGGTGCACGTGGTGCCCAGACCAGACCCTGCCTGGAAACGTGGAAGCTCAGCGTGATGATGGTCAGGGAGTTGCCAAAGGCTACGCTGCGTTAATTGTGGAAATGATGAAGCATCAAGGTGAGCACGATGCGTGCTGTCCTCAAAAGCACGGAGGCGACAGGCTGTGACACTAGCATGTCATTTTACGTTTGCTGAAGGTGCCTCTCCCTGAAGCTGTGATGTCTCGAGGGAGAAAGGGGTCAAAGATGCCACCACCCCGCCTGGGACGGGGTGAGGGAGGGGATTGCTTCTGCAGAGAGGGCCCGTGTCCCCAGGAGGTGGAAGAGGAACAGATCAAGGAGCAGCTCCCCATCCTCGTTGGACTCGACACGCTGAGCCTCGGCCTGTAGAGCCAAGAGTTAATCCTTGGTCTTGCCAATAAATAAAACCGGTCTCCTTTGCCTGTTTGTTTTCCTGCTGAAACCTGGAGCCTGGTGTGGAGAAGGACCTCTGCAAGAAGCTGAGGGTGTTGCCTGGAGGAGGTTGGAGTGCTGCCACATCCACCCAGCCTACAAAACCAACAGTCGCTCAAGAGCTGCCCTGCTTCCCCGCCAGGCCAGGGGCTGGTTAGCTGGGGAGAGTTGGCTCAGATTTGGGAAACAGCTTAACTACAGGCAGCAAATCCCTCTGGGGAAGCAAGTGCTTCTGTCCAAACTGAGCAAAAATACCTCTTCTGCTGCAGGAGCGTGGAAACTTGTCAAACCACGCAGACTCTCGGCAATCGGACTCAGACTCACAAAAGCAAAGATCTACACCATTTCAGAAGGGAGCAGTCATGGGGGCTTAAAGCTTGCAGACCTTAAAGCTTGCAAACCTGAAAGCTTGCAGACCTTAAAGCTTGTAGATGTTAAAGCTTGCAGACCTGAAAGCTTGCAAACCTTAAAGCTTGTAGACCTTCAAGCAGCACCGCCAGGACGATGCCTCTGCAGACAATGGTCCTCCTGGCGACCTAGACTCGGATGTGCCATCAGCTACGGCACGAAAGCCCCATAGGCATGATATGGCACCTGAAGAACGGCACAGATCGCTA